GATTTTATGAATTCTTGAGATCCATAGTGGTAGAACCAAAAACTTAAATGATAACAGATAAGCTTGTAGCATTGAAGACGGATTGAGTTGGTTTATTGTGCTCCTATGATCATAGATGTAGTAGCCTAAGTAATTAGTGCCTTAAAACTTGATTAATGGAAGTTTTTTTAATTACAGATTAGGGATCTAATTAAGGGTTTTTTGAGGATTTCATCCATAACTCTTGATTATCTGCCTCGTTAGTATTTAGTGGCTAAAATTCATTCGACGAATTGGTCGGCACCTCCTTAATGAAGGAATAAAACAGAGAAATCAAAGAAAACCCACAGAAAGGAAAAAACAAGGAAAATAATAATAGTGGAAAACATCCTCTCATCCTTAACAAAACTCTTTGAATCAATAGAAAGCTTGTGAAGTGAGAAAAGAAGATCACAGCAACCAAATCAGGATCCCAATGTATAATCTCATTTCAAATTTCATAGTAAATCTTAGTAAATCGAATCAAAATAGAATGAGTAAGGAAGTTAACTTGTTATGAATATGAAGTTAAAAATCTAGGGTTTGCAAAGGATTTTTTTATGTGTTTAGGATGCATGAAACAAACTGAAAAAAAAAGAAAGAAAAAAGAGAAGGGCTCATACCTGACCGTCGGCGCCGGGGAAGACTCGTCCTTAGGAGGATGCTCCAGCAGCGAAAGTTGAGTAGCCGCGCCAAGTTGTCGGATAGTCAGGGACGAGAGAGAGAGAGAGAGAGAGAGAGAGAGAGAGAGAGAACCGAAAAAAAATGAAATGAAATGAAATGAAAATGAGGAAACGAGAAGAAGAAAGGATAGATGAGGGAGAAAAACGGGAAAAGAATTAATTAAATAGCTAAATTGTTTTGGGACCCCTAAAGAATTTTTAATTTGTATATGAGTCCAAACACAAAAAAAAAGAATGAAAATATTCATGAGGACCCTGTAGCTCAGTAAACTACAACCAGACCCAGAGAATTCAGACTTAATTAGAAATTAAGCTGGGTAAATTGTTAAGATTAGAAAAGTGACCTACAAGGAACATATTTGTAGATTTTAATTATTATTGATTTTATTTAAATTTGTTTGGCTCTAACATATGAATTGATTTACCTATAAATAATATTAGTTTATATCTTACATTATAGGTTCTGGTTGATATTTAGGAGAATAATAGTTTGAGAAAGTCGTGACCACTAGAGGTGAGTTTATTTCTCACTAGTATTTTATAATATGAAATTGCATGAGTATTATATTTGATTTATCTTGTGATAAAAAAATAAATAATATATTATTTTTATGTATATAAAGATTTGACCTATTTCTGTTATGGTCTATCCCATGATACGATGTTAGCCTCGTACAATATATGAAAAGCAAATTTGATTTTTATATAAAATATGAAAAATGAATTTGGCTCTCATACAATTTTCAAATAATTGTGGGCATTGTTTTATCTGAAAGTTTTTGATGAAATATTTGGAACGTATTTCAACAAGTTTAACGGATTCAAAAAAATTTCGTGACTTAGTATCTGATAAAAGAAAGAGTAAAAATGCATAAACCGTTTTAACTGAAATGAGGAGCTTTACCTTGTCAACTTCATTTGAAAATATTTGTAAATTCTGATATGCAAAGTATTACTCATTTGACATGTGATCTCGATGTTTTTAAACCCTCAAATAGTCCACTATGGATTGTTTCTGGCTGCCATATGGTGAATGCACCTTTATTTGGCCCCTCTGTATTGGCCCTTCTGAAATTTGTTCTGGCCCGTCTACATTTTGCCAGTAACCTATGACAATGTTAGGTGCATTTGATTCCCGGAAATTATCTGCTATGTAATGCGTTTTACGCATTCCCTTGCTACAGGGCTATAATTCGTAGCATTAGTATGACCTATGGGTGACTTTTACATTCATGAATAACTCATCGAGAATTAAGATTTTGATAATTGACTATGAAATTGAGAAAGGTGACTTTTACATTCATGAATAACTCATCGAGAATTAAGATTTTGATAATTGACTATGAAATTGAGAAAACAATAATTCTCTGGTTTGTACAAATTAGCGAGAATTAAGATTTTGATAATTGACTATGAAATTGAGAAAACAATAATTCTCTGGTTTGTACAAATTAGTAGTTCTTTTCCGTCTTAGTGTTTACCTTGATTCAAAAGGGTTTGATTTCAAGAAACTCCACAGTATATTCAGTTGCACATAAGAAAGAAAATATAATTGTTGTATTCTTTCTTAAAGACGACAATATTATGATATTTGGATCGTATTTTGCTATCTTTGAATTTCTCATGCAAAACTTGTAAATTGTTATTTCTGAGAATTATTCTTATTACTATTTTGTTAGTTATCTAGGAACTCTAGTGGGAAATGTTCTCACTGAGCGCTAGCTCACCCCGTTGTTTTTAAATTTTTTTCAGATCCGGCGTAGCTTCATACTAGCCGAACTTTTGGTTTGAGCTTTTGGCTGAGAGGCGTTATATGGAGAGCCTCTTCTTTTTGATGTTATCTTCAGCATAATTTATTTTATTTTGTAAAAATACTTATAACGGTGAGCTTGTGGACTGTAGGTACCAATTATATACATATATATAGTTGCTCTGACTTCTATCATCAACAGGTTTATGAATATTTTGTAATAAACTATGTGATATGAAGTGCGAGGCTTGACTCGTGCATAAGAATTGTCTCGTACACGGGTCGTTGCTGTCACGTAACCCGCATTTACAAATTTCCGCTGCAGTTTTGGTGCATGAAAGTAAAATGATATCAGAGCCTAGGTTTCGACGATAGAAGCTTTGTAGGGCACGTTAGCATAATGTATATGCGCTAGATGAGTGTTATCGTATGGATCAACTATGTGATATATATGCATGTATACATACGTATATACATGTATGCATATAAATATTTTATAGTAAAGCCTTTTAGGTTTGTTAAGGAGAGGTTAGATGTTTATTTTATTTCACTTTGTCCTTTTACTTCAGTGAGCTAATGGATGGTTACCCTTTTTGTAGGATGGCGGGAACCAATTCATCTTCCAGTTCATCATCTACCCCGTCCAGCTCTATGATTTCTGTAGATAGCTCCTGGGAACCCAGCTTAAGAGACTGAGGATACACTTCTGATGAAACTGACCCAAGCTTGATAGTGGCTAACCATATGAACCCAGACTCATCGGAGGTCGAGCCAGTAGAAGTTATTATGATAAATTCATCAGTCTGAGGTTGATCATGTTGAGGACGAGGATATAGCAGTAGAAGTTATTCCAGTTGATTCATCACCTTCAGAAATCATTATGATTTCATCCGACGCCTCTGATATAGAGTCCCTTGTAGCCAAGATTCCTAGTGATGACCAAGGACTTGCCCCCTCTGAGGGTGAGTCGAATACCCTGGGGATTGGTCCAGACCTCGATCTTGAAGGATGGGGGACTTCTGGCATTGATCCTGACCCCAAGTGAGACCCCGACCATAGCCAGGACACAGAAGAGACTGAGCCGACCGAGGAGTCTAGCTCCAGCAGCTCCTCTTCTTCGATGAAATAGAGTATAACTGTTAGGACAATTTTGTAATATCAGTATATAGGTTTTCGTAGTCACTCTTTTGGTATATGTAGGACATTTTGGTAGAAAATATGTATATATATGTAAACCCATATACTCAGATATCTGTATGAACTAAAAAGTTAAATATAAAAAAATAATATATATATATATATA